GGATTGTTGATTCTCTGTTTGGCTTAGTTTTTCGGATCTTTGTTATGGAGGGACGGCGTGGTGCTTCTGCCTAGACCGCCATCTTGCCGGAGTCTCTCTCTACTCACTTTTGAATGTTATCATCAGCTAATAAAGGCCACATCCAATGGTTTCTTCTCAGTTCCTTCTCCTTAACATCTTTGAAGCGCTCTGCCCTCTTGGCCTGCCCTCCTTCCACCTTCCCCCTTGGCTGCCATGATGCTGTCCCCCCACCGCGCTGCCGTGACCCCTCCCACCCCTCTGAGGGAGTTTCTCAGGCTCAGCTGTAGTGTTCCCCTGTTCTTTATCCTTAGCTCTCTCTCTTTTCTTTCACATTGCTGCCTCAGTGAAGCCTCAGGCACCCATGACTGCACCCTGCCCCCTTCAAGTCCTGATGCTGACTTCCTGCGGCACCTTCTCACCTGGTTGTCTCGCTGATGTCTCAGCTAAATGCATCTGAAACAAAACCCAGCACTAGAAGCCAGCTCCTTGGTCTTCTTCCTTTCCCTTCCATATCCCGCACGTCTGGTCAGGTGCCAAATCCTGTCAATACCTTCTTCAAAATTCCTTATATACACTAACTGTATTTCTTCATGTTTTCCTTCTAATTATAAAAAGGAATCCATGTTCAATGCAGAAAACTTGAAAAGCACACACACGAAAGGTCATCTGTGATGATATTACCCATTGGCATTTTGATATATGTGCATCCAAGGAAGTGCATCTCAGTGTCATTTGTAATAATTAGCAACAACAACAAAAGAAAACAATGTAAATGTCCACAGTATGGGATAGACTATTAATAGCATCAGACATGGGTACTGTTTTGTAACCTGCGTTTGCATGAAGTGTGTCCTGTATCATTGAATATTCTTCTACAAGGCCGTATCTGCATTATTCTAGGCCCACACTTTGAGGAGATGTTGACATTATGTCTGTATCCAAAGGGAAGCAGTTGGGAGGACGGGACGCTAGAAATAACTTCCTATGAGGAATGCTTAGACATGTGAAGGCTACTGTGGCTGGAAAAGAGAAGACTTGAGGGATGGGTGCAGTTAAGTGTCTGAAAGGCCGCCTGCCACGTGAAAGGCAGATAGATTAGTTCAGTGCGGTCCCAGGGCAGGTAGAACCAAGACTGATGGTGGAACCTACAGGGAGGTGAATTTTAGCTCAAGAGAGAGAATTTTGTCTGCTCTACAAGGATGGAACTGGAACAGGTAAGAATCTGACCCCCAGCCTCTCTCCCTCCTGGGTGAACATGCTCAGAGCCACCAGAACAATCTTCTTTCAGCTTACTGGGCCACTCTCCCTTATTCCAGAACTGTTCCATGCTGCTTGTTATTCTACTAACTAAAGCTCAAACCCTTAGGCTGGCATTGGAGACCCTCCCTGACATGCACCTCTCCCATTCCAGGGTGATTGGCCCCTTGTAGATTCCACCTGGCCCAAGTGGGCTTCTAGCCCTTCCACATGCAGGCCTTGCGTTTTGCTGTCTCAGAGCCTCAGCACATTCTCTCTTCTTTAAAGCTTTATAGTCCCTCTTCTATCTGCTCTTGTTCAAATTCTCCCCTCCTGCCAGTCCCAGCTCCAGTGCCACCTCCTCCACAATACCACCAATCAGACGGCATTACTCCCCTTCTAACTCCTGTAGCACCTCACTGGTACCTCTCCAAGGACACTGACCACGTTCTTCCCACTTAGGGTCAAGTATATCCGTGACTCACTTTCCCTGCAAGGTTCAGAACTGCTGAGAATCGGGGCCACCTCTTGCTCATCGTCTCATCTAGCATATGCAGCTTAGCACCAGGATCCTACTGGATGAAATGTTTCCGGAGACATCCAAGAGAGAAAACAAAATGCCATATTTAATCCTAGCAGCCCTCCTTTTTGCATTTATTTATATTTATTTTTAATAATTTATTGAGGTGAAATTCACATAACATACAATTAATCATTATAAAGTGAACAATTCCATGGCATTTAGTATATTCACAGTGTTGTGCAGCTACCACCCCTATCTAGTTCCAGAACGTTTCCATCACTCCAAACTAAAACCCTTTACCCATTAAGCTGTTTCTCCCCCACTGTCTTCTTCCCCCACTCCCTGAAAACCACCAATCTGCATTCTGTCTCTATGGATTTCTCAGTAAATTAGGAATAGAAGGGAATTTCTCAACATGATAAAAGGTATTTATGAACAACCCACAGTGAACATCATACTCAGGTAGACCCTAGACAGATCGGATTAGTTAAATAGAATAATTTCTGAATAAGATCTGCTTTGCTTCTCTGGAACCAGGGACCAGGATCCCACACTGGGGACGTGGTCTGCTGGTCTTCAAGATGCCACCAAGCCGGGGACGGTGTGGGGCAAAGGGCAATCAAAGCACCATAAAGCGTTTCTACCATTTTTTAAGTTGTTTTTTCCATGTGTGATGTGTTCTCGTTTCCTCCCCATGTTCAGCAGGGCACCCGTCCTCGCCACCTGTGGTGGACACCGTGCATGGCAAAGTCCTGGGGAAGTATGTCAGCTTAGAAGGATTTGCAAAGCCCGTGGCTGTTTTCCTGGGAATCCCTTTTGCCAAGCCCCCCCTTGGATCCCTGAGATTCGCTCCGCCGCAGCCTGCGGAGCCCTGGAACTTTGTGAAGAATACCACCTCTTACCCTCCTATGTAAGCCACTGGGGTGGGGCTTTGGCATCTTTCGGTGGGGATGATTGCCTCAAAGTGGCTCAGGAAAGAGTCAAGACACTCCTCTGACTAGCTTCTAGTTTGTTCTTGGATTCATTAAGTGAACGAAACAACAGTTTCTCTGTTCATGGAGTTTGCATTCTAGCAGGGGAGAGAGAGAAAAAATATGCATATTAATAAATAAATTATGTAATATGGTTAGAACACCAAAACCAAACTCATTGCCATTGAGTTGATTCTGACTCATGGCAACACCTTGTGTTACAGAGTAGAACTTTTCTATAGAATTTTCTTGGCTGTACCTTTTAAGGAAGCAGTTCACCAGGCCTTTCCTCCATGGAGCTGCTGGGTGGGTCTCAACTGCCAACCATTAGGTTAACAGCCAATTGCAAACTACTTGTGCCACCCAGGTGCCTATGACAGAGTAGAATTGTCCCATAGGGTTATGTAATATGTTGGAATATGATAAATGCTTTGGGAAAAATAAACAGTTGACCCAGTGAGGGGAATCAGAAGTAATGATCCTGCTTACTCTCTTGCCTTGAACCCTGGTGTGGCTGGGGAATGGGCGGGTGAGGAGGCAGGGAGAGTATAACAACTAGGTGAGTTACCAAGTCCCAGGTGTGTCCAGCTAACTCTTTGTGACCAGAGAATAGTCCATGGGTCCCGGTCCCCCTGGCCAAGCTGGGCAAAAGGACAAAGCTTTCCTGGCTGGTGTCATGCTTCCCGGCTTGGGGATCTGGGCCACCTGCCTCCACCCATTCAGATCTTATTCTCCTCAGCAAGACATTTCTGAGGGCTTCCAAAGCCTGGCCTTTGGCTGCTTTCCTCTTTTTAAAAAAAAAAAAATCTACTCACAATTTTTATTTCCTGATTACACATGTAATACTTTTTCATTATAGAAGTTTAAAAAAAACACACACAAACAGAGAAGTACAAGAAAATTAAAATCATATACAATTCTATTACCCAGAGAGAACTGCTGTGAATATTTCAGAACATGTTTTTTTGTCTTTTTTTTCCTTTTCCTTCCTGTTGTATCACTATACTTTCTCCCTTTGAGATGGAATCATACTCTACAGAAAGTTTGGCTGCCTATTTTATTCACTTAAAACTATATCCTGAACATTGTCCTATGCCATTAAATATCATAGTCCGACATTTAATAGCTGCATTGAATTGAGTGCTTGAACCAAAATTTATTTATCTAATATCCTATTTGGGGTTATTAAAGTGTTTTTGATAAAATAAATAACACTATGATGAACATCCTTTAGCTAAATCTTTGTGCAGAGCCATCAACATTTCTTTAGGGTTAAGTTCCAAGAAATGACATTCTGAGTGGGATACCTTAGTGAGTCCCAGCCTCCCCATCCACAGCCCTCTCAGTACCCCTCCACCGCCAAGTAGCCCGTTACCCATTCCAATGTCTTGGAGTCTGACAATAACAACTCCATGTAGAGGCTTAAACCTCGCAGTCCACAGCCCAGCCTGAGCCCTGGAGACACAGCCTCACTTAGACCTGGCTGAAGCTCAGCGGTTCTTTCTTCCCTCCCTCCCCAGGTGCTCCCAAGATACAGCGACAGGACAGATGATCTCGGAAATCGTTACCGTCAGAAAGGAGAGCATTCCCCTCAAGTTTTCTGAAGACTGTCTTTACCTAAATATTTACACCCCCGCTGACTTGACCAGGAAAAGCAGGCTGCCGGTAAGCAGTGGGAACCATCCTTCAGGGCTTGTGAGCTCCAACTCTCTAGGGTTTTCTGCCATAGACAAGGAGGGGGTGAAGGCAGCTTGTGGTGGGGGCTTCCAAGGGTCAAGGTTGTTATTTCAGGGGTCACAGGGTTTCCTTTGGAGTTGTAATCGAACCCTAGAAAGTGGGTCCTTTTCTGGCGTGCTCAGGTTTGCCAATTATCTGGACACAGGTCTTTGAGAAAGAGAAAGTAACTTTATTGTAATACGCAGAGCAAGGAGCCTGGAGGAAGTTCCTCAGATCTGGCTCCCTGAGCTACAGGGAAGCAGCGCTTAAATGTGATTTGGGCAGTGTCATGGATTGCGTTGTGTCCCCCAAAAATATGTCAGTTTGTCTGGGTCATGATTCCCAGTATTGTATGATTGTGTTATCTGATGTGATTTCCTTATGTATTGTAAACTGTATCACTATGATGAGATTATATGTGATCTCCTTAAGTGTTGTAAATTCTATCACTGTGATGAGGTTATACTGACGAGGTTGACAAGATTAGTGTCTTAATGCAATCTCTGTTGAGATATAAAAGAGAGAAGCAAGCAGAGACACATGGGAACCTCATACCACCAAGAAAGCAGTGCTGGGAGCAGAGCGCGTCCTTTGGACCTGAGGTTCCTGCGCACAGAAGCTCCCAGACCAGAGGAAGACTGATGACATGGACTTTCCTCCAGAGCTGATGGAGAAAGTGTTCCCCTGGAGCCGATGCCCTGAATTTGGACTTGTAGTCTACTGGACTGTGAGAGAGTAAATTTCTGTTTGTAAAGCCATCCACTTGTGGTATTTCTGTTGGAGCAGCACCAGATGACTGAGACAGGCAGCAAGATGGCGGCTGCACAGGCATACTGGGGAGGGAAAATTCCAGAAAGTAGCCAGGAAACAGGAGGTGATGTGGTTCTTGTCGGACCTCTTGCTTCGGAATAGGGTCCGGGTGATGATTTTCCTTCAGATTCGTTCCTCCTGTTGTTGCGTCGTCCTCTGTTGAGGTGGATTAGCAATCACAGCTGGCCCCATGCATGTGGGGCAGGCCAAATCTGGCTTGGGCTAGCTTAAGGACTAATGGAAATTTACTGGCATTCATAGGGTCAGGTTACAGAGTCCCTGAATGGTGCAGGTAACACACTTGGCTGCTAACTGAAAGGCTGGAGCTTCGAGTCCCCTTAGAAACACCTCGGGAGAAAAGCTTGGCGATCTACATTCAGAAAAAGTCGGCCACTGAACCCTATGGAGCACAGTGCTACTCTGACACATGTGGGTCAACATGAGTTGAGAGTCAGCTCCATAGCAGCTGGGCTTTCTTCACCCACCAGGGTCAGACAACGTGACCATAGGAAACCCAACAAGTTTTCCAGTATCTAAGTTGCCTGCTGGTGACATGACATCTGGGCGAGTTTGCTGTACAACTCTTATGCACATTGTCATTTTTCCAAGTTCTCGAGTGCTGAGAGTGATTACTTTTAGTTGCTAGATTAGGAGTCTGATACCCAGAGCAGCTAAGACATTGTTTCAGATAAAGTTAGAGTACCCGTGTGGCTTTTCTTCAGCCCATCAACATCTGTCTGTGACAACTCTCAGTGCCCCATACAGAGATAGGGGTTTGGGGTGTGGGGCCTGGGACAGTTCAAGAAACACTTTCCTTTGGCCTTGGCCTGCTTTCTGGGATTTCGTTGTGGCTTATTTCCTTTGCTAATCGTTTTTGGTACAGGCTGATGGCACAGTGAGTCAGCACTTCTAGAATAATTGAAGGGCCAGAGGTGGGAGAGCTTGCCAGAAATAGGCTGGAGAGGTAGGGCAGGTGATGCTGGGGGCCCAGATTACAGTGGCTACTTGTGGAAAGGAGGTGATCCCTGGGGTGGAGGAGGGAGAGGTGTTAGCTCCCAGCCAATCTCCCAGGAGCATCCCGGGAGTGGTGCTCAGGTGTGGGGGAGGGTATCTGTGAGCTTGTGCCTAGAATTGGCCCTACGTGTGCTTTGTAAGGCCCAAAGAGGTGGGGTCAAAAGCTCACCCATTCATTCTTCTATCATGAGTGTATGGAGTCCTGGGTGGTGCAAGTGATCAACGTGCTCGGCTGCTAATTGAAAGGTTGGAGGTTAGAGTCCACCCAGAGATGCCTCAGAAGGGCCTGGTGATCTACTTTAAAAAAAAAAAATCAGCCATTAAAAATCCTGTGGAGCACAGTTCTACTCTGTCACACAAGGGGTCGCCATGAGTTGGAGTCGACTTGACAGCAGTTGTTTGGTTGGCTCTCCATAAAGGTAGTTAGGCTTGGGGGTTAGGGGAAAGGAAGAACATGAAACCATTACCACCCAGCCGCTGCCTTCAAGGACCTTACCATCTGGTCTGGACAGACATACTTCTTCAGCAAGTTATTGCTGACCAGCTCTGGGGTTCAGCCTTCACTCAGAGAAGGCTATAAATTCAGTCCCTATCACCGGAGGGGGGCAGTGACCAGAGGTATGGGACAAAAAGGGGCTCTGGGAACCCGGAGGCAGGAAAGACTCTAGTTACGGACACAGGTTCTGGAGCCACAGAGTCTAGGTTCAAATCCTAGTTCTGCCTTTTACTAGCTGAGAGACTTGGGCAATTACTTACCTTCTCTAAGCCTCAGCTTCCTCCAAATGGGAATACTCACATATGAATATAAACGATGCATATAGACCCTTTATCTGAGCATCTGGCTAAGCACACAAAGCAAGTGCTCATTAAACATCAGAGTTGAAAGGAAGGTCTTGCGCCTACCCATACAATGAGCTTACTGCACCGTAGTCATTGGCTACAGTGTGGTGAGGGGCTCAGCATTTGAACTCTGGAGCCAGACGCCTGGGTTCAAGTCCTGCTTCTACCGTGTACTAGCTGTGTGACCTTGAACAAGTGCTTCAGTTTTCCTGTCTATTAAGTGGGATAATATTAGTACCTACCTTATGGGTGATTTAATGAGCATGAAATGATTTAAAGTGCTTAAAAGAATACCTGGCAGATAGTTCTTGTTATATAAGTGTCTCTTCTTTTTATTGACAATATTACTCTTCTTTTTATTGACAATATTATTATTTTAGGCACTTCCACTTCTCCCCTGCTATGTGAGTTCTTTAAATTCAAGAACCATGAGCTGTGAATAGTTGTGTCCACTCTCATCCTCAATTCTTAGCACAGTCCCTGACATGGGCAGGTCTCAGCTTGGAAGAAGCAGATTTTAGCTGGGCTTTGGAGGGTATCTTGGGTTTGGGGATTCAGAGGAGGAAGAAGGAAGGCATGTTAGGAAGCAGTACTGTTGGGGGTATGTTTCATCTTGAGATAATCTTTTGCTCTGGGACAGAAGTTCAATTCTGCCCAAAAGAGCTAAGTAAGGCGAAGCTGAAACTCAAAGTCCGTCCTGTGGAGTGTTTGCTGAGCTGGGGGAGTGGTCCAGGCATGAGGACTACGAGAATGTTGCGGAAAACATGACACCCTTGGCCTGTGCTGTTCCCATTGACAGCATGAGGAGACTTGGGGTACAGGGGGCACTTGATGTGCTAGAAAAGTGGGGGCAGCCGGGGTGCACTGAGCTGGGTGGTGGCCTGGGCCCCGCTTGGAGAAAGGGAGATAAGGCTCCAACCTTGCCAGGGACTGTGGACTTTGGACAATGGCCTCCTTGGGTTGTTACCAAGAGGTGGATAGCCAAACCAAACAACCTCTTGAGGTCCCTGCCAGCTCTGCTTCCTATAACCAACATGGTTGCTTCCTCCTGCCCAGGTAATGGTGTGGATCCATGGAGGTGGTCTGCTGAGTGGCGGGGCATCAACGTACGATGGACTAGTCCTGTCTACCCATGAAGATGTGGTGGTGGTGACCATTCAGTATCGCCTGGGGATCTGGGGATTCTTCAGGTAAGGTATCAGATTCTCCTCACTACACATTGGCCCTCAAAGTACTAGGACCTAGCTCTGATCAGGTCAGCCCTCAAGGAGACCTTTGAAAGCATGTAAGTCCCTTCATAAGTGCCTCCCCCCTTCTCATTTCCTGGCCTCACTGATCCACTTACTTCAGAGCTTTTGCACATGCTGTTCCCTCTGCCTAGAATGCCTGCCTACTCTACCTAACAAACTCCTATTCATCATACAAGGCCCAGCCTAAATGTTACTTCCTCTGAAATACTTATCTCAGTGCTTTGCATATTACTGTATCATGACAGTTAACATGCAGCACAGCAGTTAAGGGCTGACACTTAAATACATGCCAAATGAATAAATGTAGAGTCCTAAAGAGAACAATGTTACAGGAGAGGAAGGTGGGTGAAGATTCCTATGTCAGGGATGTGGAAGCCCAGTCTTATTCTGGAAGGTCCAGCTAGAGCCCTACCCCATCTACAGTCCTGAGAGCCCTGCTGTGACATCTCTGTCCCCACCCTCACCCTCTTCTCTCACTCACAGCACTGGAGATGAGCACAGCCGGGGTAACTGGGGTCACTTGGACCAGGTGTCTGCACTGCGCTGGGTCCAGGAGAACATTGCCAACTTTGGAGGGAACCCGGGCTCAGTGACCATCTTTGGAGAGTCTGCAGGAGGTGAAAGTGTCTCTGTTCTTGTAAGTGATCCCATCACCAGGCCTCACACCCAGCCGTGATGCTCATAGACCCCTTGGAGACCAGCCAGTTCACCCATGGGCACCTTTTATTACAAGGCCTGGATTCAGGGCTGCCCTGCTCACTGCCCAACATCCGAGGGTGAAGAGCTAATGACCAGACCCTCCTCGTCCCCCAGGAGCTCAAATCTCTGCTTTGCACTATGGGGCCATACAAGTGAATCTCCAGAGGCAGCCGGCAGCTGTGACATTCTTCTAGTCTGGCCAGGTTGAGCCCTTTCTCTCTTTCCTAACCATTGTAATGTTAGGGCTTGCCTCACTATTCTTGGGAAGTAGGGGAGGGTATAAATTATGAATAAGAGGAGGCAAAGACAAGAGCAAGACAGAGTGTCATTGTTTGGCTTGAAGCCAGATCCACATATACATGAAGGGGAAGCAGAGCACTAGAAAGGGTGCAGCCTCCTCTGAGGTGGTCTCCATGCCAAAGAGGGAGGACAGCGGTTTCTGAGACTGATGAATGGAACTGCACTGGGGAGTTTGTCTGGGGGAGGTGGGCCAAAGGGATGAGGGATGTAAAGAGGGGACATGGAAGGATGGGCCAAGAGTAGTGGGACAGAGAATCTGGGAACACAAGGTATGATGGTGAAGATTGTGTCAACTTGGCTGGATCATGATTCTCAGAGTTTGTTGTTTGGTTGTTGTAGTTTAAATGAAGTTTACATTTCAAGTTAGTCTCCCATACAAAAATTTATACATGCATTGTTATGTGACCCTAATTGCTCTCCCCACACTGTGACAGCTCACTCCTCCTTTCCACCCCTGATTCCCCATGTCCACTCAACCAGCTCCTAACCCTCTCTGCCTTCCCATCTCACCTCCAGACAGAAGCTGCCCGGTTAGTCTGTTGTATCTACTTGAGTCAAGAGACACACTCCTCACGAGTATCACTTTATGTCCCACAGTCCAGTCCAAACCCTGTCTGAAGAGTTGGCCTTGGAAATTGTTTTGTTCTGGGCTGATAGAGGATCAGGGAGCCATGCTTTCTGGGGTTCCTCCAGTCTCAGTCAGACCATTAAGTCTGGTCTTCTTACTAGAATTTGAGTCCTGTACCCCACCTTTCTCCTCCTCCATCAGGGACTCTCTGTTGTGTTCCCTGTCAGGGTGGTCATTGGTGGTAGCCAGGCACCATCTAGTT